CCCCCCCCCATCCCTTTTCCGAAAAGTTGCTCTTCCTCAAAAAGAGGAAAAAATCCTGTGGAATTTGCATATCCTCTTTCGACACTTTAGTATAGTCTAGATGAGCCCTAAGAGAGAGACTTTGTGACACAGATTGAGTGTGTACAGCACAGAGACTGAGAGAGGGCATGTGGCAGTATGTGAGAAACACAGACTGGGTGTATGGGACAGTGGCACAGTGTGTGCTGGCTGCTGCTGGCTAAGTTTCTGAGAGAAGCTACGTGCTGTCTTTAATGGAAATCTATCCTGCTCTTTTGTCTCCCCAGTCTGCACTCCACTGGCTTCAGACTGGAGCAGTTCTGCTGACTGTGTGTCTAGGACCACTGGAGAAATGGAGTACAGGAACATGGGAATACCCTGACTTTAGCACTTCCCTCTCCTCTCCACAGCTAGCAGGAGAGTCCTGGAAGCAGCTCAGCTGCAGGATGGAGCACGGTGCGGAGAGGGGCACCTGACCATACCTTGTCAGCTGTAAGTATGATCTCTGCCAGTGCTGGGCAGGTTGAAGAGAAATGTTTGGCGGGACAAATCCGGCCCCCAGGCCTGAGTTTGCCCATCCCTGCTTTAGCTATTTTAGACCTTTGAAGAAGAAATTACTCACCTTCGGTGCAGTAACGATGGTTCTTCGAGGTGTGTCCCCCTTTGACCAGCCGCGCGCGACCCGGTCCCCGCCAGTTCCTCTCACCGCCATCTGAAAAAGATAATAGAACAAGATTCCGTAGCGGGGAGGAGGGCGGGTCATGGAGCACCCACGGGGACACACCTCGAAGAACCATCGTTACTGCACCGAAGGTGAGTAACCTCTCCTTCTTCTTCGGGTAGTCCCCATGGGTGCGCCACGTCTGGTGACTCCGGAGCAGTAATCCACTAGACGTGGGCTACGGAATCACTAATGCGATGGTTTGGCAGCACTGCTGAGGCCAGCGCTGAGTCGGAAGCCAAGCGCTGCACAATCGCGTAATGTCTGGAGAATGTCGTGTTGGAAGACCATGTAGCCGCACGACATATGTCACGTAATGGAAGTCCTC